AGTTTTGTATCCAGACAGCCAAATTTCCCTGAATCCCATGCCTCCTTACTTTTTGAATGAGCCTACCATGGGGAACCTTAGCAAATGCCTTGCTAAAATCCATATAACACCACATCCACTGCCTTCATCAATGTGTTTTGTCACATCCTCAAAGAATTCAATAAGGCTTCTAAGGCATGACCTGCCCCTCACAAAGTCATGCTGACTATTTCTAATCAAACTGTGCTTTTCCAAATAATCATAAATACTATCCCTCAGAATCCTCTCCAATAATTTGCCCACCACAGAAGTAAGACTGACCGGTCTGTAGTTCCCAGGATTATCCCTATTCCCTTTCTTGAGCAAGGGAATGACATTTGCTACCCTCCAATCTTCTGGCACACTCCAATGGACAGTGAGAACGCAAAGATCATTGCCAAAGGGGCAGCAATCTCTTCCCTCACTTCCTGTAGCAACCTTGGGTATATCTATCCTCATGTTTTTCAAAATTTCTAGCACATCCTCCCTCCTAACAACAACCTGTTCAAGCATATCTGCCTGTTTCATGCTGTCCTCACAAACATCAAGGTCCCTCTCGCTGGTGAATACTGAAGTGAAGTATTCATTAAGGATTTAACCTACCTCCTCTGACTCCGTGCACAAGTTCCCTCCACTATCCCTGATTGGCCCTACCCTCACTCTGGCCATCCTCTTGTTCCTCACATAAGCATAGAAAGCCCGGGGGTTTTCCTTGATCCTACCTGCCAAGGTTTCTTCATACCCCCTTCTAGCTCTCCTAAGTCCATTCTTCAATTCCTTCCTGGCTACCTTGTAGACCTCTACAGCCCTGTCTGATCCTTGCTTCCTCAACCTTAAGTATCGTGTTATCCAAGGTTCCTTCACCTTACCATCTCTTCCTCACCTCAGTGGGACAAACCTATCCAATACCTGTAGCAACTGCTCCCTAAACAACCTCCATATTTTTGTTGTGCATTTCCCTGAGAACATCTGATCCCAATTTATGCTCCACAGTTCTTGCCTATTAGCATTGTAATTTCCCCTCCTCCAATTAAATACTTTCCCAGACCGTCTGCTCCTTTCCCTCTCCATGACTATAGTAAAGGTCAGGGAGTTGTGATCACTATCACTGAAATGCTCTTCCACCGAGAGATCTGACACCTGGCCTGGTTCGTTGCCAAGCACCAAATCCAATATGGCCTCCCCTCTAGTCGGCCTATCTACATATTGAGTCAGAAATCCTTCCTGGACACACCTGACAAAATCTTCTCCATCCAAACTATTTGCACTTAGGAGATTCCTGTCTATACTAAGGAAGTTGAAGTCACCCATGGCAACAACCCTATTACTTCTGCACCTTTCCACAATCTGTCTCCCAATCTGTTCCTCAGTGTCTCTGTTGCTATTGGGGGGTCTATAGAAAACTCCCAATAAAGTGACTGCTCCTTTCCTGTTTCTGACTTCCACCCACACTGGCTCAGTGGACAAACCCTCCTTCACGACCTCCCTTTCTGCAGCTGTGATACCATCCCTGACCAGCAATGCCACTCCCCAACCTCTTTTACCTCCCTCCCTATTTCTTTTGAAACATCTATACCCCGAAACATCCAATAACCATTCCTGTCCCTCAGAAGGAGGCTACTCTGGCCTTGGGGCTGAACCTCTGCAAGAGCTGCTCATTACCTGCCCTTCCTCCACAACCTTTAACATTGTTTTATCTTCATGTGCTTATTTAATTCCAGTTCAAGAGGGAAAACTTATCAACTTCCACTGCCATGTTGGGGATTGTATTTCAGATCCTAACCTCACTCATCCTGAAATCACTCCCTGGAAAAAGATGCCAGTCAGCAATATTAGTCATGATGAACATGTCAGAGAGATCAAAGTTATTCACAAATGTTGTTTAGGGGAGGAAAACCTGTTTGGTTTGAGTCCAATCCTGCACGGTTGACTTTTATCTGCCCTCTTAAATAGACAAGCAAGCCACTTAGTTGTTACATGTACTCTCAGAGCACTCAGGAAGGTTTAAATCAGCCTCGATACCCACTTCCTTCAATGCAAATAGAGGCTGCACAAATTGTTTATACAGTTGAGCTTGCACACAATTTAATTAAAACAAACTGTTGCTTGCATCTTATTTGAAGGTTAGGGTTATTATGTAATATTAAAGACACGAAAACTCAAAATTTAAGTTATTTAACTTTACTGTGGAAGGATAACCTTATTAAACTTTTCTCGTAAAATCTTGGAGAACTATCAGTTCTGTTGTGCCGAGGTGTCCACTAGAGGTCACACTTACTTCAACAAATAATATACATGGAATGAGCATTTATATCACCTTGGGCAGATTCTTCATTTTTGCGATTTATTGTGGAGACATGTCCAAAAGTACTTTTGATCTGGGGCGGGTCAAATTTTCTCTCGTGATTACATTCTTCTCATTCATTGCAAATGTTTACATGAGTAAAATACAGAAGTATGCAGGCAATCAGGCAGCAAATTCTCTGCCATGCCAACTGGACTCCAACCTCCAGGCACCATATTTTAAAGGCACTCAGAACGCAGCTAGGGGGCAACACTCAACTTCTGCATGTCTCCTCAATCCACCCTGGAAATGTCAGAGACCAGGCACAAAAGCAGAGCCACTTTAATGATGCCTCCTGAGAAGTTCTGCTGTCCTGGGGAGAAGGGACAGTAACCGCAGGCAATACTGACTGTCAAAGGTAGCCTGTGGAAGGTCAGCACTCATGGAAGGCTGACTACCTCCAGTGCCACCAGAGGACAAATGACCCTCTGCACAACGCCTAGGTAGATACCACTATCTATTCAATGATTCATTTCCCCCTTTGAATATGAGTTTGCACTGTATGTTTGAGGGCTGTCCCACAGGAGATTGAGTGCACTGTGTCTCATCTGATGCCTCGTGCAATCGATGTCCATCACTTAACTACCTCTGACCTGGCGTGCTCTGGACACCACAATGGTACTGCCTCTCACCCATTTGACAGGCTTCATAGTTCAAACGTGAAAGGAGTCACAACACTTAGCAGCTCAGGTAGCATCAGCTCACTGACTTTTATCCACAACCAGGAGAAAACACACGTCTGATGGCGTTTTGCTAAAAGCTTACAGGAGACAAAGGCACAACCACGAAAACTAGCTTCAGAATGAACATTTCACAGGTATCTCAAACATGTACAGATGAAAAGCTTTATTGTTTTGTATCAACTGTAGCTCTTTGATGACACTGAACCATTGCTCATTTAGAACATTTTAACACCATCTTCCCTGGACTGTATGGTTCTTAACCATAACTCACATGATGATGTGGAGCTCTGGGGATTGATGAACAATGCTCATATACCCATGCTGATGGCTATTAATGCCTCTCTCCTTCTGCAGGAGAGAAAAATGCACTATAAGCATGATCATGCCCAGATGGTAAAGGGGGAAGTGAATGGAGATGCCTTCCATAAGTTTCCTGACCTTCTTTGGAGAGCAGATTACCAAAGTGACAGGAGAGATTGGATATCTACAAGTGAGAAAGCCTCCGATCTGTTCCTCGTTGTGTGTCAATCACTAGCATTTTAATGAAACCTTAGACAAGGGTGGTGGCTCATGACACTGTTATGATATCTACTTAACAGTCTGCCACAGCTTATTTACTAATTCCCCAGCTTGTGTGACACAACTTACATTTAATCTAAAGGGTCTGACTAGTTCCTGAAACAAGGAATCCGGGTAACTCTGCCCCCTCCCTGATCTGTCACAGTGTCAACAGTTCAGACATCAGTTCAGCATCTTTGAGCCAAAATTCACTGAGCAGCCAACACTCACTGTAGACATTGTCACCATGGATCACAGCAGAATCCACCAGCACCCATGTACTTTAGCTGCAACACATCACTTGCCTAGCCATCTCAACTTTATTTAATGAATTAACTTGCATGTTAAACATTTTAAAAGTGAATTTCTTAACTGCAGTCTTTGGCTGTAATAAAGAGTGCTGAATTAAACCACTCGGTCAATCAGAAGAGATCCAGATGAAATGCCACCAATAATTTAGCTGTTTTCCTCAATGCCTCACACCTCTGCTCTGAGAGATAGAAGCAGGTTGAAGGGGTTTCCTGCCCCTGCTTTTTATCTCCCACCACCTTAACTTTCTCACACAACCATTTTCTGTGTTCTCCATATCCCCTGTGTTCTCTTCTCTCTTTTTTTCACTTGTTTAGATGCGAGTGACTGTCTCTGGGTCCTTCTTTCTCCTGCACACATGATTAATTTTATCCCAGAGGGAGTCTAATTGATGTGATGGCTTCAAATTTGCAAACAAGGAGTTAAGAAGTTTTGCTTCTTTCAAGGTGAATTGAATAAAGAGAGACACTATCTATGGTTAGACGAAAGAAAAATAATGGCAAGAGATTGGAGTCAAGTGATTCAAGGGAACAAGAGAAACCAGAATAATGATAAGCATATTTGTCTAAGATTATTTGGAACTTATTTCCGATTCCTCACAATGATAACATTGTTCTGAAAATAACTTCCCTAAATAAGTTTGAAGTTTAATGGCATATTTCTTCGTGCTAGTGCAGATAACAATTTATTTAGTTCAATAGAAAAGTATGGAGTTGGATATTTTTAATGTTATGCAGCTTTCTCTACAGATTTCATTGAAATGGTTCATTTAAACAGTTCTGATGAAGGGTCTAGGCCCGAAACGTCAGCCTTCCTGCTCCTATGATGCTGCTTGGCCTGCTGTGTTCATCCAGCTCTACACCTTGTTATGTCAGATTTTCCAGCATCTGCAGTTCCTACTATCTCTCAGCATCAGTACAACTTGTTTTTGTCTGAATGTTTATCTTCTTTCTTCATCTGAGAAAGGTAAAGAAAACTGTACTAAAGCAGGTGAATTTTCTTTATTGCCATAACAGGCAGAAACCTCATGCACAGGTGGTTACTTTTAACCTGTTGGGAAGCTAATTTGATCAGATCAGTTGTTCCTTTTACATTTTGTCCAATGTTACTTTCTGTTGACATTGATGAAAGTAATAGAAGTTGCTGTGTGAAACAGGCTACTAATGTGATTGCTTTTATTTCACCTCCTGTAAGAATGCATTTCCACCACAGTGACTGCACCCAAGAAAAGGACGGCCAACAATACAATTCATAAGATTGGTAAACAAGTAGTTATTTAATAATACAGAACTTGAGTACTGCTGAAAAAGACACATTTTGTCAAAGCTTTTTGTTTTGCACTCATCAGGATATTTCACAAGACTACCAATGAACGGGAACACCAACATTTGTATTGAATGAGAGGAGAGTGCTGATTGATTGGCAAGTGGTCTCTTGATAAAGACAATGCTATGGATAATGCAGAAATTAATGATTATTAACTGGTGCCAGGCATTTTAAGATATTAAACTGGGCAGGTTGTCTTTGATTGGTCAGAGCATTTCCCTGAGTGCTGTCAATGTGTGCACATGCTTTTTCTGTCTGCAAAGACCAGCATCGTATAACTTAATATGTGTAACTTCCAACACATGCAAGCACACCAAACTTTGACCTCAACTGACAGTCCCAAACTGGTTGTCACTGTAATTCTTCACACATTCGGGATTATATAGCAAATCTGTCCAACTGCAGAATCACATTGCATGTTGGATACTGTGTTATAGGTTTTGCAAGCACTGTCTGGTTGGGTATGGTCAGCGCCTTGCTTGTCACGAACACTGTTTAATATAATCTGCCAGTCTTTGGGATCTATAACCGACATACTTGGCATCACAGCAGCAGTGAAATTCATATATCACATACATGTGGTAGACAGGGCATCTTTTGGCTTGATGGCAGCAACCTGTTAGTGGAAAATACCACTCATCTTGTCACTGGAGGCAGCAACATGAAACATCTGCAACTTTTGCTTAAACTTTTCAGAGACTTTACCTTTCCAGGGTAATCTGAGGTAGACTGGGCACTTTTCAGGACCAAGAGTGACCATCTTAGCCCCTTTCATGTGTTTGTGCAATACACAGCAAGAAATCACCTGATCAGAATTACCATTATCTGCAGGATGGCTTTGATGCTCCCTATTTTATCATCAAGCTTGCACAGTCAACAAATGGCTTGGGCCCTATTTACAAGGTTGCCAATAAAGCCAATTTTATACCGTGTGTAACTATAGGAATCCCAATGCATATATTGACCAGTAAAAATAAGTTGATGATTGACAGCGGCAGAGAACTACTGGATAATTTTACAACTAGGACATTGAGGAAACAGTGCTCATTTCAATGTTCAATTTTGAATTTGAGCACAGGATGATGCCGAATAAATCATGTCAGGAAATTCTTACACATAGCTACACATTCAAAGCCTGGAACATATTGGAAATACATTAGGAGTAGGAAGGTGGGTGTCATTCCTTCAAAGACATGTTGAACACACACTTCTCATGGAATCCAAAACAGATATTTGACAGCTCTACACCTAGTAGGGATTTCATGGCAACAGCATCCATTTGGGCAGACATGGTGTTGGTAAAACTGAATTCAAATTGCCTCAGTGTGGACTTCTGGTTGTGAGGTGATTCCAGAGTGATCTCCCAGCTTCAAGAACCTTGAGGTAAAGCCCAGAGTGGTCTGGAGTCAAGGCCCAGTGTTGACTGGAGGCTAGTGCCAGCATGGACTATGTTGGAAGGACCATTGTTCTGAACATTTATTTCTCCATTTTCTAATTTATTCCTGCAATCTACAATGCTGGATCTTTCATGTCTTTCTTTTTCATTTTTTCTTCTTAAGAACTTGTATTTACGAATCTGTACCTAGGTACCCTTGTATCTAAGATGGCACCTAAGTGGCAACTTGTAAACTTTTCACTGTACTCATGTGAGTGCATGTAACAATAAAGCTAATTCAATTCAATTCAAATTGCTGACCTCATAAGTTCAACCCAATACTGATTCACACAATGGTTGTGGATCTAGATCATCATGATGTCGTACTGCAATGCAGGTGTCTATGATTTCCTTAAGTGGCACATTGGAGACTAAGCTAGCAACATCAAATAAACACAGAGATACATCACTTTCATTGATAAGCAAGCGCTCCTCACATGTATGAAGGAATCCTTCACCATTCCCTGTCTCCGGAGTGGAGATGGTGGCAGCGGAGTAGCAGCATTTGGGCCCAAGCCCTGAGCTCGACGCTCGTCCGCTTGAGTTTGCCTTCTTTCTTTTTTCTCCTTTTATTTTTGCTCCTTCTTTTTCTCCTTTTACAGCAGCAGCGGCGGGAGCAGCTCCTTCTCGGAGTGTCGGCAGTGGTGGTAGCGGTCATCCCCAGAGTATCGGCAGCAGAGGGAGCGGTTCCTTCCCAGGGTGTCGGCAGCGGTGGGTTCCTTGCTAAAATGGCGGTCCCAGGAGCCGTGTGGAATCACGGTGGCGATGACGTCAGTGGAGGCAAATAGTGCGGAAGAATGGCAACAATGTGCCCGGTGGCAGTGGTGCGACTCCAGGCCGTGGCTGGGCCCGGGTACCTGCTGGGCGGAGGTGGTGGTGTTCCAGTGTTCAATGAGGAGACTCGGGGCACAGACTGAGGGATGGATTTTGTGGCTTTGCTTCGCTGGTGGTGGGGGAGTGATCTGGGTGTTTCGTTTTCTTCTTGCTGTTTCCTTTATTTCTGCTTCTGTTTTTAATCCTGTCTTTTGCATATTAAGATGGTGCCAGAGAATGGCGATGCTGTGCACTTTTCAGTGTACTCCTGTATTATTGTGCTTGAAGACACGTGACAATAAAATCTAAATCTAAATCGATGTGAGCAGAGAACCTGCTCAAAACTAGTTGGAACAATTGACCTAACCATTTAGCTTGTTCATGTTGTGTAGAACCGATCGTAAGTAAATGGACATCACTTTCTAAGTCTAAGGCAGCCTGTTGAAAGGCGAGTGCAGTGAGTCAAACACTACCATGTATATCACCTTGAAGCTCGTGGCTCCTACAGAAGCCCAACAACCACTTCGTTCGCTCGCTTTTGACTAAGTCTCTCCGGTTATCCCGTGACAATAAAATTTAAAACTAGTAGAGGAGTTCAAATTACTCTTTATGTTTGATGTGGGATGAAAGCACACCAAAAGTGAACACATGCAGAAAGACAATCTCCTCGCTTTCAGATGGTACATGGTCAAAGAGATTTACTGCATCTTTAGGTATAAGTGTGTGTTTTAAACGAGTACTGTTTATGGTGAAGTAATCTATTAAAGCAACATAAGTAAATCAAATTGAAAAGTGAAATAAATTTGCACACTTCAGACCAAGCACAATACAGGATATAAAAACCGAAAGTGTTCTGAGGAAGGGTCACTGAAACGTTAACTCTAATTTTCCCTCACAGATGCTGCCACACCTGCTGAGCTTTTCCAGCAACTTCTGTTTTTGCTCACAATATTGGATATGGTGTAAATTATTAATTTTGTTATCCAACTTTTCAACCTAATTTCACATAAAAGCTCATTCAATCGTGGGACTGTGTTTCACTTTGGCATGATCAGACTGGTAAACTAAATTACTGGTTTTCTTTGTGAGCATTAAAGTATGCAGCTTGTTCTTTTTGAGAGTTAGGTTCAAGGCTATTCAGCAATCAATTACAGAGATTAGAAGTTTTTCTTTCTTCATGTCCTCTGAGATGGGCTTTCTGTATTTCCATTAACTGCAATGACTGGATAAGAATCTTTTTATAAAATTTACATTTGTAATGGATCTCCTATTCCAATTTCATTTCAGTCATTCATTGAGCTCCAGCTTTGCACCCGGCCTTCTGCTTCACGGGAATGTGCCTCGTCTGCATCTAAACAATCTCTTCTTTGAAGATTTCCCATTGCTCATTTCCAGTTTTGCTTGCCAATATTTGGCTCCAGTCCATGTTCACTCAGCTTGAGGCTGGTTAGGAATCATGAATGATGACAACATTGTGGGCTCAATTTCCTGTGTCACTGAGGTCACCATGAAGGCCCCATCTTTTCAACCCTCCCTGAGGTTTAGTCACCCTCAGGTTAACCTCCCCACCACTTCTTCCTTAATAGATCAACTGCAACATGCTTCAATTAGCCCACATCATTTCCTCAAAGTACGCCCAGCACTGCTTCTTCTCTTATTGGGATGAATATACACTGAACCACAAAGTTCTCTTCTTTTTCAAGAATACTTCCCTCTCTTTGTCCAGATATTGTAAGACAACTGAAGTTCCCCATTAAATTACCTGCAAATTTGTTCCTATTTTCATTCTGCTATTTGCTGTTCAATCAATCCAATGATATAATAGTTCCTCTACTGTTCCTCACAGTTACTATTTTAGGTAATCTGCTTGAAAACTTCCAGTTATCTCCTGCTGCTTTATCTGTGGGACCTCAACTTTGTTCCTTACTGTGTCATTAGTTCACACCTAAACTATCGTGTAGATTTTCACGGAGTTGGGATGACTTAAAATGCACAAAGGGTTATGGAGAGAGTGTAGGGAAATGAGGTGGCATGGTGAGGTTTGGAGAATGTGTGCAGGTCAGTGGGTGGGAGAATAAAGGTTTGTTTAACACACCAATATTCACACTTTGAATTCGGCAGCAAAAGACTCCTAAAGATTTACAAGGGTTTTACTGTAAATCCATAGTTTAGTACAAACATCAGTTTCCACCTTTCCCTTCTGGACCCTCGACATGTCCAGAAGTCAAACCCCACTGAGGAAGAACTCAACTCTTTTGGTTTGAAACAAACCTAATCACCAAATCATCCAATATCAAATTAAAACAATCCCTTTCTTGGGGTGGCATGATGGCTCAGTGGTTAACACTGCTACCTCACAGCACCATAGACCCAGGTTCGATTCTACCCTCAGGCCACTGTCTGGATGGAGTTTACACATTCTCCCAGTGTTTGCATGGGTTTCCTCTCATAGTCTAAAGATATACACATTAGGTGTTAAAATTTGCCCATAGTGTGCAGGCTAGATGGATTAGCCATGGGAAATGAAGTGTTACAGGGATAGGGTAGCGGTGTGGGATGCTCTAAGGAGGGTCAGTGTGAACTTGGCCTCTTTCTGCACTGTAGGGTTTCTATGGTTCTGTGATACCTGGGCAGTGTAATAGTAAAAAATGTTCAAAGGAGTGAAAACAGCAGAGTGGGTTAAGCTAAATCAGAGGGAGATATTATCACTTCTTTATATATTAGATATCACTTCTTCTTCCTTATCCTTGACATTTAGCCAGTATTTATATTTTACTGTAAACTTGCATCTATGTCCCACTATCATGGTCATCCTCCTGTGATCTGACTCTGCAAGCTGGTAAACTACCTGCAAATATACTTTTGCCAAATGTTCCCCACATGAGATTACTTTCTTATGTTCCTCATAATCCGTCCGTGTATCGGTATGTGTTTCCTGAGCTCTTAAGTCCTGCTCTTCTGGTTTCAAATTGTAAAAGTCATCAGAGTATCTTCTTTATCATCGATAACTTCTCCCATGTCATTGGAGTTTGAAAATTCCTAACTCATCCCCACTACTCATGAAGAATATAAAGGAATCCATTATAGTTTGATTCCCATGTTGTATTAAGTATATTTTTACATCACACCACCCTGCTCCTTGGATGCTGTCTGGTCTGTTGTGCTTTTCCAGCCTCACACCTATAGACTCTGGCTTCCAGCATCTGCACTCCTTATTGTCTCCAACTAGTCCTGCCCTTTCCATTCCCTGTACCCTTCTTTCTTACAGTAAACATGGTCACCAGATCTGAAATCTCTCTAAGATCATCTGATGTGATGTCTCAACACTCTCCTAATTTTCTCTGACATCTGAGCTCTACTTTTAGCTTTTCTACTGGTCTGTAATACATTAGATACGAGGGATAAACAAGCTGATGGATGTACCTTCTAGTGTTGGAAGATTGTCATGCTATAAGAAGGTAATTTTGGGTTCCAATTATATACGACTTGGTATGGGCTAAACATCTCCAACCAGCTGTAAGTAATTTTTTTGCATCAATTGTCAGTGCCATTTGTAACTTATAGTTTTGGCCGATCAGCTCACATTTTGTGTAGCATTTGAATAATCAATGCATCCTTTCTTTTGCACAAGCTATTGCTGAACAGACTTTCTGCAGTAGTGTGCATTACTATAATATTTAAGTCCTCACGTCTGAAATCTGTCATTTGCAAATGCACCCTAGTTATTCATTAAGAATTTTATTGGTGGCCCAGTGCCTGTGCCGACCCCCTTTTCTGAGACATTGTTCATTATAGTCTACCTGTCCTTATTGTTTATCACTATGGATATGCTAAACCTGACTACCACATCTACAAAATATAGTAGATAGATATTCCAATCCTTGTCCCATTATCTTCAAATCCACAGGCAGTCCGCGGATTAGGAACAGATTCTGTTCTTGAGTCCGTTCTCAAGTTGATTTCAACACAAGTCAGAACACCATGCAGGACAGTATAAAATCACCATTCATAAGTACAAACAAACATTCAGATGTCAAAACTTTAAATTTAATATAAATAAATCCCTGTATAAGATTGCACTGGCAAGTACGAACATTCATGGGTCAGCGACTCCTTTTATTTAAATTCCTGAGCTAAACGAACACTTTTACAACCGGGCCTGGTGGTATTTTACAATATTTAATACATGTATCAGATTATACTGTGATCTTATTCTTCACCCACAACTTTAACAGCAGCTTTATTTTTTGTGAGCAGGGATGAGCAAATTGTTTATGCAGTTTCCATATAATCCTCTTCTAATCAGTGAGGCTCCTATCTGCAGCAATCACCAAGCTGTCTTGGGTTTCTTAATGAGATACTCCAGTTTTCCTCACTGGGATACAATAATGTTCAGATTCCCTGAATTATACATTTACTGCCTTACTGAGTACAAATACTTTATCATTCTCCGTGTCTGAATGCATTTTCGCTTTTCTCATCAAAGCCTTATGCAATAATAATGATATGTTACTGGAATTAATCAGGGAACACAACAGATGCTGTCAGACCAGGCTCTGCCCAGATACCAGGTACACCACTCCCTCACATGACCCCTTTTATCTTGCCCTATCCTGACGGTTCATACCTACCCATCTCCCCACGTACAGACAGCCTTAAGTTTTGCTCCAAACTGCCCTTGAACTCCCACATTACACTTAAAGTTACCCACCCTACTTCTCTATCCTCCCCCTGTGGAGGCCACACTGGTGGCCACTGCCACTAAACCCCTTCCCGTAGCCTACCAAACCCTCCCATTCTATTCTG